GGGGGTCAGCCACACCATTTGTACAATTTTAAATCCCTGCCTCCCAGGAATGCTTTTGATCAAATATGAATGATTTCCAGTGCACAGTTCTACAGAAGAAGTCGTTTGTAGCAATATAGCCAAATTGTCCCCTTTTGGCCCCGCCCCTAAGCCCCCTGGGGAGTCAGGCCCACCATTTGTACAATTTTTAATCACCACCACCTAGGGATGCTTCCAGTCAAATATGGTTGATATCCACTTCTTAGTTTCCGAGAAGAAGTCGCTTAAAGCAATATGGGCAAATTGACCCCTTTTGGCCCCGCCCCTCAGCCCCCTGGGGGGTCAGCCCACCATTTGTACAATTTTAAATCCCCACCACCTAGGGATGCTTCCAGTCAAATTTAGTTTATTTCCAACCAGTGGTTAAGAAGAAGTCGTTTAAAGAAATTGTTGACGTACGGACGTACGGACGGACGACGGACGCCACGGTATGGCATAAGCTCACTTTGAGCTAAAAAGCAGTTAATATTTGAAGAAAAAAATTGGATTTTTTTGTATGCTACATGAATAAACTTTTATGAGGATTCAAACTATAAAAATGGATTTTTTATTTTTATTTATCACAAGAACAGTTTTTACACGAAACATTCCCTCCTGTAAAAAATATTTTGTTTGAACCTTATGAATGTACTTAGTTAATTTGTTTAACATTTAAATTATCATTTAAATATATAGCCAACAACAGGCATTGATAGTTGTGAAAATATGAAGGTATTGACAAAAATAATTTACCAGCAACAAAGGAAATGTAAGACATTAAGTAACTTAAAAGATGTATTTATGAATCTTAATATTTAAAAACCAAGTTGAGAAATATTTTACCAGTATTTAACTATGAAATTACAGATTTGAATTGGTCTAACTTTAATCTGTCGAATAATATCAAGACTGTTGGAGATAGTACAGATTTATACATTTAAAAAAAAAATCGCTGGAGGTAGTACGCAGATCTGTCGAGTAATATAAAAGCTTCATGTGAGTATATATGAAAATGTTGAATATACAAAAATTATGCACGAAGAGNGAAACTGTATTTTAAGAGCGAATGATATATGTAACGAATCTGCTGAAAATCACAAAATGCCTAAATTAGTATGCCTAACGCAAGTTCTCACGACACTGACAGAGTGCAAATCATGTGTTTGACAAGCTTAATTTACCTGAAAACTGCAAACGATCTAAACCCATTTTGTATTGATATATATCATACGTATACAGTATTATAGTCTTCTATCAAGTTAATATCTTGTCTCAGTCGAGTCATATTTGTTCTAAGTGACAAATATCTTTACTATTTAAAACAATTCAAGATACATATTTTTTTTTATTCAACAAAATCATTTTTTTTTCGATATCAAATTATTTAACAATCAATATGTACAAATCATAGACAATTGAAAAGACATGTATTTCTATTTCATTCACTGTTTTTGATACAATAAAATCATAAACAGGTTACAACGTGTTTATATTTTATTTCATAGTGGCCAAGGGCAAGCGTATCACGACCATTAGGAAGTACGTAGCGCTTATCATCAAAAGGTGATAGCCCCGATTTGTTGATTGTATATACATGTAACTAATGTTTATCTGATCTAATTGAATTCATTGCACACATCTTGTTCGTCTTATCGAACAAACATTTCGCGTACATATCGTGTCGCAAGTCTTTTTTAATGGTTGCTTTAGCGACACCTTTAGCCACTTGTTTCTCTTTTGACGTTGTTGTGATTACAGTACAACTCTCGACAACAGACCTTTCGTGCGTACAAATTACGTAAGAATACAACTTTGGACGAAGACCGACAAACTCTGAAATGGGATGTTATGACGTTTCGTCTTTGAAGTATCCCGGGATTTTTTTGTTTGATGAATCGTGACAAGGGTGAGATGGTGGATAATCAGACAAATCATACACATGTCTGTCCTGGTGAAGATCTGAGTATAGATCGAGGGTTTCAATTTCGATACCGAACGAATCGGTGTCTGTAAATAATAACTTCATTCCATCATGATATTTCGGCTTGAGATATTTGTAATAAATTTCATACATGACTATTTTCGAGAGCTCTAGAATGGTTTGTCCGGCATATACCGGTTTGTTCAGTAATAATTTGGTTTTTGCATTCTCAATGCCCACCAAATTCTCGCTAAAGATTTTAAATCGTTTAAAAGACGGTTTTGCACAATATTTTATTTTATTTTTTTCTCTGTATGAGCTAACTTTATGTCTACTACTCGATTCCTAACATTCTCCATTGTTTTACCGAACACGGCATTGTTCATGAGCTTAAAAAAAGTTTTTCTCAAAGTCATTTTGCGATTCAACCCTTCGTTGTGAATTAAATAAGATATAGGGCCTTAGCAAAGGATGTTGTCTAAACTCTAAAATTTTATGAATTTTGGTAAGCTTCATGCCGAGATCTAGATACAGCTGCAGATTCCTATAATGATAGATATATTTTGTTTTATTTTCTAGATTTGGAATTAGTTTTTCCGTTTTCAAGCGACCTTTTAATTTTACATTGGAAGGCTACCACCGCGAAACCACCCTCAAAGAATAGATACATGTCCGGATCGGTTAGTAATTCTAATTGCACACCTGTCATTTTTAATGCTGCATTCCAAGCTAGACCAGGGCTAGTATAGAATTGACACGGATCTAATCCATAATAATTTAAACACGTAGTTCTAAAATTCTCAAAGACATCTGTTAGGAGAAGCACATCTGTTTTTAAATACAAGTCGTGATATTCTCCTAAATTTTGAATATGTAATTCGTTCCAAACACGTTGTGCATGAACATGGTCAGAATCTAATATGTGATATTTGCTCAACTGACTATAAAATTGTTGTTGTGATGGGCGTTGTGTTTCACTGAATTTACTTTCCTCGTTTACATACTAGTATGGATAGACTAACAGTTCCGTCTGAGGTTTAGTAAATTCTTTTGAAAGATGTTTGAATTTGGAACTTCCTCCCTTTGCTAAATTACTAACCAGTGAATCTAAACTTTCTGACATGAATTGGAACGAATCTATAAATCGTAAACTTCCTAAACTAAATGAAATATATTTTTCCATGTTGTTTGGTATACATTTGATTTCATGATCTTTGAATAGACCTAAACTTTCGCATAAGATATGACCGTCAAATCCTTTCAAATTGTGAAAAACTACAGGGATGAAAGAAGGATGTTGATATTGTATGTTACAAGTTTGACATGCTGCCGATATATATTTCCCCGTTAAATGGCAGTTATCTCTTACTTTGATTGAATCTCTCGCGAAATGCTTATTACAAATATGACATTTTTCGCAATTTTGAAAATGACGCTCATCTTCCTTCGTCATTTTGAGTGGCTCGACATGCTTTTAAATGTTTTTGATAAGGTGCTGCTCTTCAATCAAATTTTCTAGTATTTGGAGTCGTACTAGACGTTTGAGGATTAGGCAGACAAGAATCCATATTTTGTGAAAAGTTTCAAAATCTGCATAGATTACAATGGACGATTATCTGTTTATTAAAATAGCAAAATTCTAAAAATTGCTCACCTTCTGATGGGAGTTTCACATGTTGTGGATCGTATTTAGATCAATATTCGACATGATTTTCAAGTAAATCCTTGCGCGTGAACCCTTGTAAGCAAAATTGACAAAAATGTGTTTTACAATGATGAGATTTCGTTCTGCTAAGAAACGTATCTAATTTGTTATCAGACAATAATGTGTTTTTATACCTTGTTGTAACAGTAATAAATTAACGTGATGTCGTGATTCTCTTACCTTTGTAACATACAATGGGAAAATTGTCTCATCCTCATATCCAAATACATTCACAGAAATATTATTTTGTTTTTCAAACTTATTCACATGAGAAATACGAACTCTTCATATTTTGTTCATATTTTGTATAATGATTCACATGTTCTGGTATGTCTGCTGTTGGATGAAGAGAAGCAATTACTGACCACGTGAAACATTTCTCGTCATTGTTGAGAATGTTCAACAGTTTATGTTGCCTGAATGTTCCTGGAGTAAGAATGTATGAAGTTCCTGATAAAGGTGAATATTTCACAGTACTCACTTCTAATTTAATGATCCTTTTTAAAATCCAATTCGATCCTTCCCCAATGTATTCTTCAAAGCCTAAAAACATCTTTTGAAATGCTTCGTTCAAATCATGTTGTGAACAGTTCTCATTTGGCAAATAAATGTAAGTCTTGCTTCTAAAGTGTGGATAGGACTGCTGCTTGTTTCCATCCTTGTCTTCTTTTTCCAATTCCACTTGAATACATAAATACCACTTAATCCCTCTTAGCTCGTAACTTCTTTCTTCTAAATGTGTTCTCACTTCCTATGAAGTGTTTGTTGCAAAGCGAAGCAAATCCATATCATCGTCACCATTCGGATATCTGTTTCTAATATTAGCAACACAATTTAAACTGCTTTCGTCAGAATAACGATGATCGTTGTGAATAAAAACATTACCTCCTTCCTGCTCTACTACAGCTGGAGAACGCTGTTCTCGTGCAAGTTCTGGGGATTGCATCCAACTCGGTCCTGCGATTGGAGAATCTATACCTAGTTCCGGAGAAGTCACACGCTGTTCCGGAGAAGCCGAACGCTGTTCCGGAGAAGTCGCACACTGTTCCGGAGGAGCCACACGCTGTTCCGAAGAAGCCGCACACTGTTCCGGAGAAGCCGCACGCTGTTCCAGAGAAGCCGCACGCTGTTCCGGAGAAGCCGCACGCTGTTCCGGAGAAGCCACACGCTGTTCCGGGGAAGCCGCACGCTGTTCCGGAGAAGCCACACGCTGTTCCGGGGAAGCCGCACGCTGTTCCGGAGAAGCCGCACGTTGTTCCGGAGAAGCCGCACGCTGGTCCGGAGAAGCCACACGCGCTTCAGGAGAACCCATGCGCTGTTCTGGAGAATCGTTAGCTGGTGAGTTGTGAATTTTATGCGCTTTCAATACATGTCGTTGTAAGGAAAAAACAATGTTTTTGGGAAATAATTGCAAGGTATCCGTTTTGAAGTAGTACAAGGAATAATCTCGTTATCAATTACCTCAACCTCATGTATATGCGACATATGGCGAGTTAAGTTGAAATGTCGAGAAAATGTATTACCACATATTTCATACGAGAAACCTGCAAGGTGAGCTTTAAGATGATTCACTTGATTTTTATCACAAACTTGCTTGTAGCATACTTCACGCTCTTGGGTTGTTTCTTCATTTGGGCCAGTTTCAACATCACAATATTTTACCGGCGTTTTCGTTTTTTTAGTTGGTGAGGTATCTAGACTGTCTAGTTTTCTCTTCAAGTCTCTTAATGTTTCTCTAGCTTCTTCATCTCCTTCTCCCTATTTCTTCAGTAGACCAGCAAGAAATCCGTCTGCCATGGTGAACAATTTAGATCCTGTATGAAATCTGTCTTGAAACAGCTATACTTATAGTGTGTGGGCGGAGCGAGTGGGCATGTCTAAACTTTGAATGCCAGCCATTTCTTCTTCGCCTTCTGTTTATTGATGCGAGTCATGAAATCACGAGGTGTAGTTTCTACATATAATTGTCCACCGTCCTGTGTTGTTTCAGGATGTGAATCTTTTTTTTTTCTACTGAGTTATTGTCATTAGTTTGTTGTTTTACAGTACTTGGTGGTCCTTCTGTCACCGGTTGCTCAGTTTTAACAATAACTCTGACAAGTTGTTTTAAGTGTATATCTTTCCTTTATGATCTCCGAGAAACCTACAATACAGGACAATACAATAAATACATTTCCCCTCTCATATACATACAATAAATACTATACAACTTCCGCGCCGACCGATGTACCGGACCTCTGAATAGAGACCGCTATAAATATAGTAATTCTAATAACTAAATGTTATAACCACACGATAGTTATTATATAATACGGTTATACGTACCGGGTATGATGTCCCTAGCCTGCTAATACATGCTGGCGGCAATGTATCTGTACGCCCTCTATATATATATACCCAATGACTCAGCTCTATCCGTAATCAGATCCGTCTTTCACGAGTCGGATTGTAAGAATGACCACTGGGCAGTAAGTATCTACCCAGTAGCCAGAATATAGTGGCGGGAATATAGAGTGCTTTATTCGTGCAAGGGGCAGGTCCAAGGTCTACGTCGTAAGTACAATTCAGTCAGAATGTTGGAACAGAACATAACAACACGTAAAGGTTATTGCATGGTTTTCGAGTAACAAGGGATTTATTACACCCGAGCGAAAAGGGAAGTAGAGAAAAAAATGTTCACCTGGACAATCTTTTTACCTACCCTACACTGCAGATAATTTACATGTACCTGTGTGAGTGAGTACTAACCACAACCAGGTACATGTAAGATTCTCAATAGCCCAGTCTGAGTGCATCCTTCATAATGGATACAAGTGTTTTTGGATTACTATCCAGCTCCAGTACCAGGGAAGGTAAGGAGTGTCTGTTCAACAATTAGAACAAAATACGGGAAGCAATGTTGAATTTCTGACTACATTTTCAGTTTAATTTTCACGATGTGTAAAGGTACAGGATATTGAAACCATTTTCATACATACAATGTAAGGGTTTAACAATCCCTAAGGAATTCCAGTTATGTGCAATTTTGTATAAAGGAACAGCTCCTAAAGATTATAAACTTTTATAAACTTTTCCAGGAAATGCTTATCCTCTCACGTGATAAGGAAATCTTTTTTTGTGTTTTTCAATCATGAAATGACCATTTTTAACTTCATTTTTCCCCCTTATTTTAAAATGTGTCAACTAAGTTTATCCTTTCCACTGTATTGACTTCGTCGTTACTCACTGATTGATTATCTCCCCTTTCAGCAGTTGTGACCACAGTCCACTGGGCACACCCCCTTTCATGGTCATGTAATCATGATTGGCCGTGAAAGGGGTTATGTGTGCAGTGGACTGTGGTAGCAAGTGATTTATTGCCTATACTTTTCCATTGTGAGAGGTGGGAAGTATGCAGTAAAGGTACATGCATTCCGAACTGATGACGTCACATACACTGTTTGCGAGACGGGACAACACACGTGTATACAGACAGTTGACAGTACTCGTTGTATATACATATACACACACCATATATATATATATCCTATTATATAACCCAGGGTTACATACTCCCCTGCTGGGGGAAAATGTGTCCCACATTTGTTATAACCTAAAAATAACTTGACTAAAAATCTTCTAAAGTGAAATTCAGTCCTATCGCCTTGTCACAGCTGCATAAGTCTGTAACCTGTACAAAACAATGAAATTCATGCAAGTTTTATACTAAATCAATTAAAACCTGCAAAGTAATTATCTGAATAAAAAAATGTAATACAATCAATAAAAATCATGATGACATTTAATTACAAATTCCTGAAAATAATCTGTTAACTCCATCTTTCTTTGAATGACTGCCGGTGCTCCATGGAAATTCCTGAAAGTATGGACTATTTTGCAAAACGTTGTGAAACGATTTTTATCCACCTAATCCTCAATTTACATTACAATGAGTGAATCACATAATAATCAAGGTTCCTCAGGAAAACTCATTTGAATATGGTCTAACATGTATATAACTACAACCAAACTTCATGATTGCCACAAACCGCACTTACGGAGCACACCCACTGACCGAACCTGTCTGGCGGTTTCCGGTTCCGGTGTGATCTCCGTGGAGACACTAGCTCTTCATCCCCTGAACTATCTGCCGAAACAGGTTCAGGTGGTTCAGATGACCTGGTTATATGTCATATAGGACTCATCCCACTTGTATGGAACGGACTAATCAAGGGAGATAACTCAAGAGGATTCCTCCTTTGAGGTATTATATACCTCTCCACCTCGGAGTCCGTATCGGAACTCGACTCCTCATGGGTTTCATCTTGTGATTGATCGACTACAGTCCTACATTGTCTCCTGCGAGTCAGTGGGACGACGATCTCCCCACTAGGGATCACATTGAATGGTAACGACATGTTACGATGGAGGGTACGCTGGGATCCCTTACCACGTTCTGGTTTGACCTTGTAGACTGGTGCCTCAATGTCAGGTATCTCAGTGACTACGTATGGGTCATGTTCCCATCGGTCTGCCAGTTTGTGCTTCCCCTGAATTCCAACCTTCCTAACAAGTATTCTATCACCTACCTCAAGTTTTGTCTCTCGCACTCTGATATCATAGTATGTTTTATTACGAGCATTTTTGTTAGCCTCGTCTGCAGCCATACGGTACGCATACTGGAGCCTAGTTTTTAACTTGCTAACATATGATACCAGATCAGCTACCCTTCAGGTCTGGTTTGTTAGTATCTAAAAAGGCATCTACTGACAATCTGGGGTGCCACCCAAACATGACGTAATGAGGTGAAAAACTGGTAGCATTGCTCCTAGTAGCGTTGTATGCCTGGACCATCGGAGAGATGTAAGATTTCCAGTCTAGCTTCTGGTCATATTCTAGAGTAGCTAGCATTTTCAACAGAGTCTGGTTGAAACGCTCAGCTGACCCGTTGCCCATTGAATGATATGGAGTTGTCCGGGTTTTCTTTACCCCATCAATCCTACATAGTTCCCTAATGACTTTGCTCTCGAAATTCCGACCTTGGTCACTATGGAGCTTCTCCGGAAAGCTGTAGTGGACAATAAACTTTTCAAACAAGGCTTTAGCTGTTGTTTGAGCTGTTTGGTTTCGACAGGGAATTGCCTGAGCATATCGAGTGAAATGGTCAGTTATAACCAACACATTCGCAAAACCCCCTTCGATCTTTCTAGGCTAAGAAAGTCGATGCAAACCAACTCCATGGGCCTTGTAGTCCTAATGGGAACCAACTCTGCCACTTGCTTCACAGGAGCCTTTCTCCTGATACATCTACCACATTGTTCTACTTTCCTATTAATAACCCCTCCATACCAGGCCAATAAAATCTCTGTTTTGCCAACCATAGGGTTTTCTCCTTCCCTTGATGTCCAACATCATCGTGCACACCCCTCAATGCTTGAAGCTTATGAGCCTCTGGCAACACAAGTTGTCTCACCTTCTCACCATCTACAGTTGTGGTTCTGTACAAAACACCATGCTCAAGGAAAAGACGCTTTCGCTCCCGGAGGTACCTCCGCACCTCCGGCGACTCACCCATACCTCCCCTTGCACAAAAACCACCACTGCAGATGTCTACAACTCTAGCCAACACTGAGTCATCCGCCTGGTCCGCCTCCCAATCCATGTTAGCAAGCTCACCACCATACACAGCTCTCTCCTCGGCCGTAGGAGTAACTGGATCAGTGGTGACACAATCAGCCAATGGCACTGAATCCATTACTGACTGACAGACTGCTTTAACCATGTCGGTAAACAACTGAGGCTGACGAGACAATCCATCCGCATCTGCATTTTGCCTCCAGCTCTGTAGGTTATTGTAAAATCATAACCTGCTAGAGCGGCGACCCACCGATGACTTGTAGCATCAAGCCTTGTCTTGGTTAGCACATAAGTAAGTGGGTTGTTGTCAGTAAAGACCTTGAAACTGGTTCCATACAAATAGTCGTGAAACTTATCAGTTACAGCCCACTTCAGAGCCAAAAACTCCAACTTATGTGCCGGGTAGTTTTTCTCGCTTGGTCTCAGACCACGGCTTGCATATGCAATGACCCGCTTGTGACCTTGCTGTTCCTGGTTCAACATTGCACCAAGTCCAGAGCCACTAGTATATTTGTGCAAAAATAAAGAGAAGGAGTAGTCGGCATAGCCCAGTATTGGTGGGCTCAACAATTTCTCCTTTACAGTATCTACCTGCTGTTGGTTACCCCACTCCCACAGTGCAGGATTTATCTTTTTAGCCTTAGTTTTGTCACTGATGTTCAATGACCCATGCCCTCTCAATAAACTATGGAGTGGCTCTACAATCTTAGCATAGTCCTTGATAAACCTACGGAAATGACCAACGAATCCCAGAAACTGTCTAGTCTCCTTAACATTCGTTGGTTTGGGCCAATCTACAACCGCTCTCAACTTCTCGGGATCTGTTCCAATCCCCTTATCTGATACCACATGGCCAAGATAAGTTACAGCAGTCTTAAAGAACTCACATTTGTTTGGCTTCAACTTGAGACCAGGTTGCTCTAATCGAGAGAACACAGACTCTATCCTCTTGATGTGTTCCTCAAAAGTCTGAGAAAAGATGAGGATATCGCCAATGAACACCAAGCACTCTCGCAATTGTAGTTCCCACATACTCTTTTCCATAAGTCTTTGGAAAGTGGCGGGTGCATTGGTTAAACCAAAGCTCATACGGCTGCACTCATAAAAACCAAGATTTCCAACTGAGAAAGCTGTCTTTGGTTTATCCCCCTCTTCCATCTCAACTTGCCAGTAACCTGAACGTAAGTCGAGTTTAGAAAAGTACTTTGACCCACTGAGTGTGTCAACAACATCGTCAAAACGAGGCAACATGTAGGCGTCCTTACGCGTACGTGCATTTAGAGTTCTATAGTCAATACAGAATCGTAGAGATCCGTCCTTCTTTCTCACTAAAACGACGTTAGATGAGAAAGGACTATTTGACTCTCTAACTACACCTGCCTGTAACATGTCTTTGACGTGTTGGCTCACCTCTTCATACATTCCAGGAGGTATCCTCCTGTAAGATTGCTTAAATGGTTTGCTCTCCTCCAACTCTATCTTATGTTTTACTATAGTAGCCTTTCCTAAATCCAATGGCCCCCTAGAAAATACTCTATGCTAACCCCCAATCACTGCTTTTGCCTCAAAAGCCTGCTCCGAAGTTAAGTTTTCCTCCTCTAACTTAACACCTAACTCCTCAAAACAATCTGACCGAACCTTAGAGTGTCCATCTATTTCAGAGGCTAGATTATCCACCATTTCCACAGCCTGAATGACACATAATTCCCCTTTGGGTCTTAGGGTAATAGGTTTCGCTGTAAAGTTAAATATCTTAACTGGAACCCTTGCTACATTTGCATTCTGACTAAGTTTCACCACTCTAGGACCTACCACAAAACCTGCGCCCTCGGCTAAACCTTCAGTTACCACTTCACTCATGTGACCTCCTCAACTTCTGGCTAACCCGTCAACAACTGCAGATTCGTATGGAGCAATATGTATTGCCTTCTTGGACCTTGCTGTTGCAGTATTACAGGTAATACTTTCTATAGCCATCTGCCATGCTTCTGGTATAACTAAGCTAGTCTCATCCATGGTTAACCAGTCCCTGCACTGCCTAATAACATTTGTTCCCACTATAAGTGGACAGTGTCCATTGTACTGAGTATCAGGTACTACTTACACTGGAACCAGTATTTCCACATTAGACAAACATGGTACAGCTATAACACACTCAATGTAACCCATATATCCTAGACTAGAACCATCTGCGACTGATACCTCCAAGCCTAAATCATCTAAACTCAATAACTCAGGTTTGTCCTCTAAACTAAGGTATCCAGACTCTGATATGGTTGTCACCATAGATCCACTATCTACGAACGCCTTCATTTCACAGTCATTGATACTCACTTTGCTTTCATTTGCTACACCTACCATTCGAGTAATCAAATTTTGGCCTTGTTCTTGTACATTACAGGTCCCAGCTTGGCCAGCAGCAGCGACCTCTACGCGTTTGGGTTGTACATACCTTGACCCTGTCCTTGAGCTCCATTTTGACCATACCTGTTGACCTTGACCATACCTGTTTCCTCTGTCTCTCTGACCTTTATTAGTGTCACCAGCCCTCTAGTTACCTGACTTTTTCAAAATACTATCCAATTTATCATCTAACTTTTTCTCTAAAAGTTCAAATCTGGTATTGAACTTCTTCTCCAGCTCTAACAAAGCATGATCCCGAGTCTGTTCACCTGACAAGATATGTTGCTGGGCTTTCTTACCTGTATTGGTAGCAGTGGCACCACATCCTGTAAACATTCGTTTGATTCTTGTTTTACTCTACTTGGTGGTTCCTTCCTTTCATTTGATACTTGTTAACTGTCATTAAATAATTCTTCGTATTTAGCTCTCGGAATTAAAACTAATTCTTTTGCCATTCTAAATACGCTTTAACAAATGAAGTTAACAAGCTTCATTTGAGTGACAATAATCTCTTCTGTCTCTGCTTTGGTCTTATTCCTTCGGCTAAAACTTAACGAATATTTAATTTAGGTCTGATCAATTCATTTTTATCGCTTTTACTGATTGGAATATTATCCATGACAGCATTATAGATTATTTCGATTAAAAACTTTAGCTGTTTATAAGCCAATGACTCCAATATAACTTTTTGTTGTTGCTTTGAAGCAGTATTATAAAATTCGGCAAATTCTTTCATTTTCTCGGTTCGTAAACAATGATGTCTTCTCCGGGCAATATTCGAGTGCGTAATGGTGCAATTTCAATCGCATCGTCTTTAATATTGAGTTGTGTTCCGTGTGGATTTATATCTATCAACAAATAACCGTAACGTTTAGAGGTTGCTTTAAGATATGTATCTCTAAAATATGCAGTTTGTCTTGGAAATATTTGCCTTCCCAACATTTCAACTTGTAACTGATCGCGATAATTCTTAAACAGAATAAAATAATGTGTGTTTAGACTTAATGTTCTCATAACCTTACCTTTTTAAAATAAATTTTGCACTAAAAACATAACAGTAGTGTTTTCGTGATGTGAACTAACGCAGAACATCTTCATTAGATCTTGGCTATTTACTCCATCGGCCATGCAATCATCGATGACTAGTAACTTATGACCGCTAATCTGCGCCCATTCTTTAAACTCTTCTTCATCCGGAAGTCCCTGATGGAAAGTTACTTCTTCCAACTTTTGCTTAATGTAGTCAAAAAGAGACTGCCATGTATCATAACAAATAATGATTTTGGTTGGAGGCTGTTTTGTTTTGTTAGATATGTTTTACCGGATCCTGTTGGTCCACATATCATAACGGTAGTAGGTGTTTGAAATTTGATCAAACTTTCTTCTACCCACCATTTATCTTCCATGACTCAATGTAGAATGAATAGACATACACAAAACAACACAATATATATTCCATTATTTTATTTCAGAACAACATTTCTGTTTGATATCATTATAGTGAATACAAAGCGGAAAAGAGTTTTCTATGTAATTATATACAATCCTATCATTTTTAACATGATCATTATCAAACATATTTGTTATAGATTTCATAGTCATCCCTCTACATCGATTAAGCAGAAAAACCAAACAATATTGTCCACAAATATTCGAGTTTGTACTCTGAATGCGTTTATGGTTATATACAAAATTGGAGAAATCAAAGTCGAAATATTCTGACGAGTGTCCATAACTGTCAAAGAATTCTCCTTTATTTTTTTATTCCATGTATACAGCTAGCCAATGCTTTCCAGGTAGGTTGCTATTATCTGTATTTACAATAAAACCGGTAGGCCACTTATGTATGTTTGTTGGTATCTGATCGCTCGCGTAGACAACTATACTCATTTTTCTCATCGCAGGATCACATTCGATAGCACATCGCACATGGCAGGTAGAAACAAATTTACAGGCCCAATGTTTTCATCTATAGCGATGTTGCTTCCATCGCCATTTTTTATTTTAGCTTTCACCGATATCTTTGTGTTTTTCAGATCGATGTATTCCATACCATTTTGACCGGAAATGACGAACTCGATGGGGGCTTTGCCGACGACTTGCGAAATGGGAAGAACGTCTTGATAATATATATCTCTATAGCTGTCTGTGTTGGAGGTAATTCAAAAAAAAAAAAAAAATGTGTTTTTGTCATCACAGATACATCATGTAAAATATCATATGAGTATACATATATCATGTAAACATATCCTCTCACAGGAGTCACATCTTTGATTTTTTTCCTTGCTTGGGATGAGTTCTGGAGTTTAGTATCTGAGAATTTTTTTTTTTTTACCAAACATAACTTATAACTAAACGTCACATACTGTATACATTAACATCACACCACAAAGACATAAACTCTTACAAGGCAATATATATATCCATATATATATTCTGACTTAATAATAATTTATATCTACATTGCTATTTAAGTGAACTTCAATCAAACAAAGCATAAAAATTGTATAGATATATATATAAGTCAGCTATTTTTTTAATATCAGGATATGAAATGTGTATAAACATGTATGCATAGTATACAAGTAAATCCATTTAAAATAAAATTGTGTATTATATGTAGGTGTTTTTATTGTAACTCTCCTTCACTCTTTATATATGTTTTCAATTGTATTTCATGCATAATCATATATGGATATATATAGAGTCCTATAACCTATAAACAATCTACTATACAAATGTAGGGGGAAGCCTTACTACCTAAGAAAGTAAGAAATCTTATTTTAAAATAGGTACATCTTTATGTCATATGGATAAGTTGTAATTTATTAATGTTGTTGTTTTTATGTAAATACATTTTCCCACTTTTCCAATATTTGAAAAAAAAAATCGTTTACATGTATTTATGTGAACAACTTTTTCGATTGTATATTTTTGTGCAATAAATTCTTTTAACAAGTTGAAGTTAACTCTGTCTTGGCTTTTTGATGTACAAAAAATCAAGTATTTTGTAAGTAATATAAGGAAGTTGAGAGGTTGTGATGTGACAATGTTAACTGTATGTCCAAACAATATCATTTTCAAATCAAAAACTACTGTTTTATTTGTTTTTTGTTTTATCCATTCTTCTCTCGTTTTATACTGGAACCATTGTAGTTTTGTATCTATGGTAGTCTTAAAGGGTAGTAAATAAATTGTATTCCAGTTAAAATATTGGAAAATAGGGTTTGTTTTCCATTTAATTTCTGATGTATTGACTATGTTTTTGTGGTTTTGCTCTGTAAGTGCATAATAGAAATCTCCACTGCCTTTTTTACTTTTAAATAAAATTTGAGTGTGAAAAGGTAAATAAGGTCTTACAATAGTATTGTTATTCAGATATACCTTGCATTTTTTAATCACAGATTTAATGGATGCACAGACTCTGGTCACTTAAGAAATTATTCGATATTACAGAAAACTTGTCTTTGAATTCTTCAAAATTTAAAAATGCTACTTTCATTATGTTCAACTACTGTATTTACATCTTTCCTATGCCAGTCTTCAAAATAAATGTATTGATTCCCTATCTTAAAGTTAGAATTGTACCATAAAGGGGAGGTAAGAAGGTCAGTTTTGGTTCTTATTTTATTTAGTTTTGACACTTTTATCCATGTATTTAGGACTTCTATCCAAAATAAATTTGTTATATTTAAGTTTTCAAAGAAACCTCCACCAAATTGTGAAAGGCACTGTATGGGACATCTTCCATGTTCAAAAATGTTTTTCCATTCCCTATCACTATATGTCAAAAGTCTTCTTACCCAAGTAAATTTTAAACTATTAATAAAATTCCCAATATCTATCATTTTTAAACCTCCTTTGTTGTATTGTTTAATTAGAGTGTTCCTTTTCACTTTATCAATATGTCCTTGCCATATAAATTTTAAAAAAGTGGAATTCATTGTTTTAATAAAAGCTCTATCTGGATTCGGTATAGTCATGAAGAGATGAATCATTTTTGAAAGTACTAATGTTTTTAAAACAGTTATCCTGCCTATTGGTGTAAGTATTCTTTTAGACCATTGTAGTAATGATCTAAATTTTGTATAGCTTTATTATAGTTAATGTTAATCATTTCATCTAAGTTGACAGAGTAATCTATTCCAAGAACGTTATATTTTGTAATACCACCATTTTAATTTCCATCTATGGTGGTAGACGTCTTGACTGAATTTTTTACTTCCTATCCATATCAATTGTGTTTTGTCCCTATTTACCTTAAGGTGGCTCGACACATCGTCATCAGCGTCCATTTTCGTGACATACTTCCGGAAAAAGTACAGCTAGGACTCAATTATCTTAATCGAAATGTGCATGTACACCGTGTCGTCATTTCCGTATTGCGTATCGGGCATTCAATATCGTAGTGCAAATTATAGTAACACCTGCTGGGCTGTTTTCGTTTAAACGGTCAAACCGATCGGACCACTGTTGTTCGTTTATTAAATAAGGTCGGACCTAGTAATCTGATACTGCTTTCAGGCGAGTCTTGAGAAAGCCTTGCAAGGCATGCATGCACATTTGCAGGTCCGCCAGGATTTACAACCGAAATTGTTACATTTATAAACGGTCAAACCGGTTGTTCCGCATAAACGAACAGGCCCATGGTAAACAATAGTACACGTGCGTGCCGATGATATGTCAACACCCGATATCAAGATTTTACCGGGAAATGTATACTCACACGTACTTCAGGAATAAAGCTTTCCAATTCATAGACATAAACAGACTCACGGGAAGACAGTGACATGAGACCAGACGACCTCAAGAAGGTCATATAGGAAACACATGGAATGCGGACGTACCAACCTCACATGTGCATATCGCGTGTTTACACGAGTTCATAAGCTCGAGGTCGTTACGATTTTCGCTGTTGAGGGAGTTTCGCTCTGTCGATTAAATCGTGTTTACAAATGTAGTCTACTAGCTTACTCTGTGAAAATAATGTTTTGTAAAATATCAAGATACCTATGAAATGCATGTGTGAGTGCACGTGAGAACGGTATACCATGCGATAGCCTCTGGTCTGACATGTAATTATAAATATACCGTGAGTTAGCGGACTGTGGAATGATGTCCAAAGTGTACATGACTGAGGGTAATTTGGTTCCATTAAAGAACAATAAATTGATAATTTTGATATCATATTTTTGATTTATTTCCATCATTTTTGTTATATGTAAACAGAGACAACTGTCATTGTGTAAATGTCACCCCTCTGCAAAAAGTTCCGATTTTTTTCAAGGAAGATAACTCTCACCCGGATCAAAGTGATTGTAAAATGTAAAATAAATTAATTATAAAGCCATTGTGTATATTTTGTTCAATTTCCCACTCTATATGTATAGAACTTTGTGTCCTGGGTGCTTTTAGCTTGTAGATAATCACTTTTATCCGTACAAATTCAATAAAAAACACTTTGTGTAACATGTGTTACATATTTTGCGATAAATAAAATATTTGTAGGGTTAATTAGAAATGCTTCTTTTCATTTTATTATTGTTGTTATTGTTCCGAACAATGCCACACACAAAAAAACCCGGAAAATATTAGAATTGACGAAAATTCAATTTTTTGGTATTTTTTCCAAAAAATTCCCCAAACTATCGGAATGTTTAGATTTTCATAATTCATAACTCGACATAGTTGCATAACAATTATATGAAAGTTTCAACGAATTTTGCTGGTTAATTGCGAAAGTGTGGAGCCACCTTAAGACCTGATATTTGTGCAAATAATTCTAACATTTTGAGTGCCTCATTGAAAGATTCCCTAGAACCATTTAAAATAAGAGATGTGTCATCTGCAATCTGTGAGAGCTTGTGTTCTTTTTCCCTACTTTGATACCCTTAATTGTTGCATTGTTTTTAACCATAATTGCCAATATTTCTGCCCCAAGTATAAAAAGATATGGTGAGACAGGGTCGCCCTGACGACAGCCACGTTCTATAGTGAAAAATTCCGATAGCCTAGCATTTTGTATAATAGCTGATGAAGTGTCTGTATATAGTGTATTGGTTACTTTGTCTAGAAACTTCCATGATACCGAAATTATAAAATCTAAAATTGTTTTCATTCTGTTGGCTATGCATGCTGAGGCTAATTTGTAAATTGTATTTAATAATGTAATAGGCCTCCAGTTTTTTAAAAATTGTCTTGGTTTTTCTCCTTTTGGAATACATGTAATAATACCTAGCCTTTGATTTGTGGAAAAAGATCCTTTGGTATATCCCTGGTTTAGTGATCTCAATATAAAATATTTAAGTTCTGGCCAAAAAAAAAAAAAAAAAATCTGCAGGAAAGCCATCTGTTCCAGGCGATTTACAGTTTTTCTTATTTTTTAAAGCTTTTCCAAGCTCATCTTCTGTTAAATTTCCTTCTAGTGTTTCTTTTTGATTGTCTGTTAATTTATTTAAATCAAATTCTTTAAGTAAGTTGTCTAGATCAACATCTTCTATACCCTCAGACTATTCACTGTAAAGTTTTGTGTAAAATGCTTCTATTTCTTTCAGGATTTCCTTTTGTTCAGTAATTATTTCTCCTATAACTTTTTCTTGCTTATATATTGTTTTGTTAGTAAAATTTCTAGACTCCAGACTGCAGAAGTATTTTGTCGCCTTTTCCCTCTCTTCTATCCAGTTAACTTTAGACCTAATTAGATGTCCTTTCATTTTTGTTTGTCTGATGGTTTCTAATTCTCTTTTTTTTTGGTGTAAAATATCAAATTTATTTGCTAAATTGTCTTCAGATTCTATCCTATCTATACTTTCCATTAATTCTTTTTCTTGTCTTATTGGCCTTCTGTATTGCATGAGAAATACTTGTGCTTCTAATTTCCCTCAGTAGAGTTTCTAAAAAAAAGTTGGTCGTCGATTGAAAATCTAATATCTTTATTGTCAATTTCTTCTATATTTCCATCATATGTACTATCTGCATACTGTTTCTTTATACGCTCAATTGTATCTTTTACCTTCTTCACACATTCATTATCATAAAGTAAACTAGTGTTAAATTTCCATAGTCCCTTACCCTGTTCAAAATTGTTAGTCTTTATTTCTAATGTAATGATCGAATTGTCTGTTCTATATCCTGATTTAATATCTGCTTTATCTACTATATTTAAAAGAGTATCAGTTGTAAGGAAGAAATCTAGCCTAGCTTGCTTAAATTCTTTTTCCTCCATGAGTACCTACGGAAGTCTGGATGTAGTATCCTAAAACAGTCAGATAGATTATATTCTTCAACTATATCAAGATTTTTTTGCCTAGCCTTAGAATTGTTTACATTTCTATAATTATAGGTATCTTTTTCTGAGTTAAGTACAATATTGTAATCTCCACATATAATGATTTCTGTATTTTCAAGTTCATCTAGAGTCTGTTTTAAGTATTCATAAAACATTGGGTCATCAGTGTTAGGGCCGTATAAAGTTACAAGCGTTAATCTTCTTTTTCTCAATTGTAAAATCAACAGCTATAAAATTGCCACCTCTATCTTTTTTAACTTCTTGTATATAAAATTCAAAATTATAATTAAACATAATACTCACGCCTCTACAATTTGACAGATAAGAATTAAAAATACACTTAAAACCCCACTGTGACTCAATATGATTCTCTATTTGAGGTGTAAAATGAGTGTCTTGGAGACAAAAAATATTAAAATCCCTAAAATTTGTTTGTAAATAGTTCAGGACATCAAGTCTTTTTTCCTTTGACTCCAAGCCCTGACAGTTTGCAGACATTATTTTTATACAACCAGACATAATCTAAACCAGTTGTAAGTCTTATCGATGAGGCACACATTTGTAATAGTTTTAAAATAATTATAGACAGTATCATATATCATAAAGTCAGTGACAAATATGTTTTTCCATTTGATCTCCTCCCTTTGCAAGCATTCCCCTTTTAAGTTAAGCGATACCACAAAAACATAAAACACTAAATACATATAACAATTAAATACAAAAAAGTACTATGTACATTTATATTCTGAAAAGGAATCTTAACGTACTTCTGAAAATACCAATACCAGGTACAGCTAGCCTGTGTTATATTTATGATATTGTGGTTGATTATGTCCCTTAGATTAGATTATGTCGATCGATCAATTATAATTTAGTATGAGTATATAGTTAAAACACTAAATGTATGGAGCAGGCAGTTCTTAAATAAAACTTTTATCAGCATACCTACTATTTGAGTTCGTTCCAAGGTTGATATTTACATTTTAAAACTTGTGAATGTCTGCAAATCAAAAATCTCCATGTGGTTTTGTATACTACGGAAGTGAATATTCACATAGTAAACGATGAGTCAGAATAAGGTAAATATTATCCGGATTTTAGAGCATCTCTTAAAAACATATCCGGATTATGGTCTTGAACGAAATAAATACTATTCTGTATACATAAGGATGTATTTAATTCAACCTAATTATAATGGATTTGAAAAACAAATGGAGAACACATTTTCTCAGTAAAGAAAAGAGAATACGGAAGAAAAAAATCCGTATGTTGATGCATTATAACGTTAGTACATGGTCTTTATTATCCGGATTATCCATTCGCATGAACCAATATGCTATAAAGGCCGTATTATAAACTGATAATTTTGTAATTACTTCAGATAATAAAAAGAACATTCCTTTTATCTTATCTCATACGTGTCAATGTGGAAAAGAAAAAAACCCGGAATTATTTAACCTTTCAGTTACAATGTATAGATACTATGAGTCGCTTTTACAGACATGAATAGACCATGTGTTATAAATATATAATTAAAATGCCATGTCTATAAACTTGAATCTATAATATTCAATATATTCCACATACAACTGTACATATATCAAGAACCTCCTTACATTTACAAGTTCAATATTGACTGACCTAGTATAAATGATTGTCGCCATTAAATGATTAATACATACAAATCTACTTTACTTACTTTATCCCAAAAAATAATAATATATATTATCAAAGGCAAATTTGATTTACTGCTGAACCTTACATACACGTGGATCTCTTAAATACTGATTCACTGGTTGATTACGATATATCTCATATCTCATAATACATGTATATGGTCGAGAAATAAATAAAAAAAAAACAGTAAAGTCAAGTCATACATTGGTCACCTGTGATCCTACAGCTATATTGCCGCCTGGTTTCATAGTTGATTTTGGGACACTCGTGCAATGTATACTTTTTCTTGTTGTCATGACTTTGATGACTGTTTAGTACGTTTTTTAAATATTGCATTGTTGTCGGTATATTATTTATTTCTTCTTACTATTTACAAATAAAACAGTTCAAATTAAGGTACACACAAAAATAAACCACAGAGTTATTTGTGATTTGCTTGAGATGAGAGTATGGCATCTAAGTCTTTGTGACTCTGAATTTACTTTTACTTTTCCGTTCATCAACCATGCTCCTTGTAGCTTGCGATCGCGACATTGGTAGGCTCTCGACAGCAGTTCTTGGTTTCTACGTGTGATATCTTCCATGATCACTATACCAGATTGCTTTAGTTTGGGTCTGTTTTTTATCACATTGAACTTTGAGCGTCTGCGGACGAACTTGCAAATAACGGCCCGGGCCTTGCCGGCTCTGTGAACACCAAGTCTATGGGCAGTGTCGATTTCGTTTGGGTCAAGATTCATTCCGAGTTTAGCGTTACGTAACTTGACGACTAAGGTGACAGAGTCTTCTACGGATTCATTGGGGTTGTGAGCACCAAGTCTATGGGCAGTGTCGATTTCGTTTGGGTCAAGATTCATTCCTAGTTTAGCGTTACATAACTTGACGACTAAGGTGACAGAGTCTTCTACGGATTCATTGGGGTTGCTGTTCTCCAGTCCCACTATCCGGATACTATTTGCGCTACCATGTTGTTCCAGGTCATTTAAGATGGAATTATTTGCATGGCATTCTTGGCTGAGAAAATAAACTTGTCGTTAGTTTTCTTCGCTGTTAGCAGTGATTTTTTCAACGTTTTTTTTTTAGTTTTTGATTTTCTATTGCTAGGTCGTGCACCTCACCTTTTATTCGTTCTAAGTTGTCTTCGTGTTCTATCTTTAAGATACTAATATTTTTTTCGAAATTCTGGGAAAGTTTTTCAACTGTTGCCTGTAGTTGCTCTGTAGTGACCAATTTTTTCATTCGAACTTTCATCTTTGGTGACAACTTTACTGAGCAGTAGCTCAATTCTCTCTAATCGTGCATTTATCTCAGAGTTGTCTTAAGTTTTATCCATTTTCCCAGTGATTTCTTCTATAGTAGACTGGATTTGGCTTGTTCTATCACCTGTTGAGTTGGTGAAACTAGATTTACACCAAGGTTGTGTAATGCTATAGTTTTCTCACTTTTGACATTGTCAATGGGAATCATGAACTCCTTAGTGTTGGTAGATATACCACCTCCATGCTGTTTCACTTCTCGATCGATATCGATATATGGATTAATTTTGCCACTAGTAACGTTTTTGAAATAGTTCATCCATTTTTCCACATTGGGAACGTACATGTTTGAAACATTCCTAAGTAAAACGGATATGATTTGAAATGTAGTGTTATCGTCACCGATTGTTTCAAAAATGAAGGAACTTCGCCTTTCTCATTTGTTATATATATTTCGATGTCTCTAATCTCTGCTTTATTTACAGGTACATATTGAAAGATCGTGAAAGATTGGGTCCAGTTAGCTTGCTTGTACGACTTTACCATGCGGAGGAGACTTTTCTTTTCACCATCGATGATAGTTCCATCACTTACGTCGCAATGTACGTATACGTTTTCATTTGTTTTACCAGTTTCAACTAAATAAATGTCTGCCAACGCTACCTGCCAGAGTCCAGGTAAATGCAGGGGGGATTGTAAATGAGTGCGAAAATGATGCGGTTCATTATCTGGAAAATATTCCCTGTTCTTATTACTGTTGATTGTGACGTAGTGCGTCATGATCAATGTCTACAGTATCAATAATGGTATCCGCATCGACATATGAATTATATTTGGTAGGCCACTCCAACCATTTTACTAGCCACTGTTTTCTACCACTTATCTTGCGCGTCTTGATTTTCTTCTCTATGTAAAAAAGTGAATCCATGTTCTTATCAACTCTCTGCAATTCGGATTCATAAAAGCTACCTTTGATTACTTCGTTTAGAAAATCAATCAGCTGATGTTGGGGAATACCTTGCAATAGATATCGTCTGTGTACTTTAAATATATGGTTTCTTTGATTGATTTTTCATCGGTTTCTTTCTAAGTACAGATATGCAAATATATCTGCCTGATTTTCTTTGTTGACATTTTTAGGAGCTATACCATTTAAAGATCGATGCGGTGTAGAATTGTAACTATCAACCAGTTTCTGTAGAATGTCAGTATATTTGTACGTTCTGTGTTTTGTAAAGTATCGAAATAGCATGGTCTTAAACCGTATGCACCTTTCAATTATATTTGCCTTCGTATCGCTTTGAGTGGTAAAATAATGAATGTGTTCAGTATCTTGATAGGTAATTTTACCAATCTTGCTAGATCGATCCATATATTTGCCAACCACATCCTTGCAGTATTTCCTAAAGATTGCATTATTAAACTCTCCACCTTTGTCTGTCCGAAGTTTGTGAGGCACTCCACTTCTTTTGACAATTTTCTTGAAAGCGTTTAAAACTTCTTTTGACGTTTTGTTTTTTAGAGGTTCAATCCATAGATGTCGACTGAAGTCGTCAATAACCATCAAAAGATATCGCACTCCCGAATTATGTTTGGGTAGAGATGTCATGTCTGCCAAATCAGCATCGTACTGTTCACCTGGCACGCCAACTTCAACACGTGCACGTTTAAATGAGCGCCTAACTGGTTTATGTAAACTATAATCATCAAGACTCTGTATATATCTTCTGATCTTATATATGCCAAGGATTTTAATACCTTGTGTTTTCAATATTTGGTGAACCTTCACGGGACTGAGAAATGCACCACCATTCTCCAAATTATAATATACGTCATCTATAAGTCTTGTTTATGTACAAACTTTTATTAACATTGATACATATTACAACGTTTTGTGAAACCAATCTTCTTCACGATTCATGGACATGACCATTATACCGACTCTCTCTTTCCATTTTTCTGTTTTAAGTTCATAACTTCTCCATTCAGCATTACATAATTGTGAAATGAAAGCATTTCTAGCACTTCTTTGGTTTTTAAAACAATAAAGTTTCTTGAATAAAGTCACGAATCACTTTAATGTCATCCATTTGAATAAATGCATGCATCATATCAAACTGTCTTTCACTTATGATTTCTCGAACATGATATGCATATAGTAGTTTTAATAAGTTACCATTTTGAGGAATTCTGAGGAATTCCCACAAGGAAAAGTATTATTAATTTTGCGTTGCACGTTGATATATCCTATTCAAATTGGGCGGGTGAGGTAAAACACAATGACGGTCAAAACACTCTACAGAAAAGTTTGTATTATCCCAATATTTCAATGTATTTCCACACTTATAACAAGTAACATAATCACCGACACCTTCGTGAAAAAATCCGTCTCTAGCCAGCTGATAAGGGGTCTGACGAAGTTTACAACTCCACTGGGAGAATGTCACCGACCGATCGGTACAGCTTGTCATGTATAGGTGAGCTGGGCGGGTGATACCAGTGTTCATCTATAAGTAGAATGGATAGATATGTTGCTATTATTCTTTCCCATAGTGCCACTGTCTTGTATGTCTACAGTACATTCAAATATACGTCTACTATCTGTAAATCAAATGAATAGACATGTCTGAACTTCACCGATTTTCTTCACGTATTTCTCTTTTTTTCGCTATAACTTTGTTTCACGTAGTTCTCGTCCCTCAAACGTTCGTCTTGCATGAGATATTGTAATGTATTCGAAGGTATACAAGATTGAATGGCAAACTCGCGCCAAGTCTTTTCCACTTCCAAATGATTTGTAAATGGCAATGCTTCATCAACATGTAAGTCTATAACAACAGCATTGGAATACATCAGACATTCATGTTCATGTTGATTAGCTCGACGATTCTCACAACCTAGACATACGAATAGTTCTGTTATTTTTGATTTTACAACGTATGCATAAGAGAGGCACAGCAGATTTATTTAGTAGTCTCCCATAGGCATTTTCTTCGGTTTTTTGAATCAAATAGTTTTGCAGTCTTTTATCTAGCAAGTCTGTGTTTAATTCCATTATTACACATGTACGTATTGGTATGATAACGTAACTCTACATATTTAAATGACAGACAGTCTTTTTGACCATCTCAAATGCTCTGTTTTGATATCGTCGAAATAGTTCCAATGTTTTAACGAAACACCACACATGAAACATGAAACACGATCTTCGATACCGGTGTAGAAAAATCCGTTACTGGTGAGTTGCTGTGGAGATTGATGGTGATGTTTAGACCACTTTTTGTAGGTATCCAGCCGGTTACAACATTTGATCAATGATGGATAACACGGTTGTATTACATTAGTGTTTATAGTATGTGGAACACTGTCTGTGACGTTGTCCATGGGTATTAACTTTCAAAAATTGCACAGATTAATTGTAAACTCTCCGACACTGACAATATTCTTTTTAAACGTTCTAGTGATATATAGTTATTTTCTTTGCTTCTTCTTTTAAATATACGCTTACCTTGTTTTTCAACTGTTTAAAGTGATTTCTTTATGAAGTCCTAAATAGCAATCCACTTGGTTA